GGCGTGGGCGGAGACGGACGGCGGGTAGGTGGATTCGTCGTTTGTATCGGTGGCGATGGGGCGCTGGATGGCGGACTGGAGCTCGGCGAGGGCCTCGCCGCCGGGGTAGTTGAGGGAGGAGAGCTGGAGCATGAGGGTGCTGATGGCGAGGGTGAGGGGTATGGAGGCGAGGAGGAGGAGGTGGCTGATCCTGTACAGGAGGGAGCGGGTGCGTCGCTTGGTGATGAAGTCGGCGCCCAGGGCGGCGGCGGCAGTGAAGGGGGGCACGACGTAGAAGACGAACCGTGTCTCCTTGTGGGGCTGGAAGGAGTAGACGGCCAGGAAGAAGAGGCTGGGTATCAGTAGCTGTCTTGCGCTGTTCGATGTTCCAGGCTGGAAGAGTGCTAGGAGTATGAGGGGGCCGGCGAGAGGGTTGATCATGAGGCGAGGGAGGGCGGACGAGAAGTAGTAGTGCCAGGGCGACACGCCCCAGTTGGAAGACGAGCCCTCGATGGCATTGTAATAAAAGGCCGACAGTTCGGGCCACAGGAACTTTTGCCAGAAGTACGAGTCGATTGGGACTGATATCAGAAGTGAGATGTAGAAAGCAGCGAAAAAGGAAATGGCCAGAGCCTTGAATGTGATGCGGCGGCTAAGGAGAAGATAGGCTCCGGTCCCGGTGAGGAGGATGGCCAGTTCTGACCTGAAGATGGCGGTGGCCATGGTGAGAAGGCATATGGCTTGCTTTCGGCGGTTCCAAGCTCTGGGCTCTGAAGCCCGCGGGAGAAGGAAGGCGAAGGCAAGGGTAGCTGGTGCCACGATGTCAGTTTGTTGTTCACTGTGGTGGCATCAAAAGGATCAATGCTTAGCCGGGCTACGCGGAATAAGATACTTACTGGGTCCAAAGGCGAACATGTTGGGCAATGTTCGTGTCAGGTAAAAGATGACGTGAAATTGAGTAACTAGGAGAGCCACCCACCACCTGGCAGCGCCGACACCGTAGGCGTTTGCCATGGAATTCCTGAAGACGACCAGACAGCCAGCGTTGAAGGCGCCGAGAACGGCCCTGACGATGAGCTGCGCATGGCGAAATCCCAACAGGGCAATCAAGGGCTGGCTGACACCGGAGAGAAGCACAGGACCAATGAAGGTACGGGGAACGACCCCGGGGAAGGTGAAGTGATCATAAGTAGTGCTCAGGCGTTCGTAGACATTCCCCGACACGGGTGTGCCATAGACGAGGATGTCATGGGTTGCCTGCAGGTTGAAGGACTCCTCAACTTTGGTGTATGGCGCGTAGAGGAGATGAAGAAGGGGCAAGACAAACAAGAGAGAGACGGAAACGTAATCTTTTGAATGCGAGCGAGCGGCACAAAAAGTCAGCTTGACGCTTCACATGCTTCATGGCTGGGGCCATGCGTATAGTTGGGGTGTGTGAAGCTGGTTCTCATACCTAGGAACCTCATGGTGCCGGATTGAATGCGATTGGCGGATCAATGCTCCATTGAGTTTCAATCTCTCGCAGTCGGTCGTATGACTAGCTCACAGGAGAGAGAAGGAGGAAAGAAAGAGCCGAGGGAATGTCTATGATATGTAGAGGCTCAGGAAGAGTTGACCAGCAGCAGGGATGATCTTCTGTCGTTTGTACATAAGGAGGTTGTCTGCAGGGAGGCTGAGCACTGCACTAGCCACAATTGCACTAGCCACAATTGCACTAGCCACAATTGCACTAGCCACAATTGCACTAGCCACAATTGAACACCGTCTGATATCCCTGAGCAGCGCCGCTTTTAGCCCAAGCTCGACCCTGCCCCAGCTGAGGCAACTATATACCTATGATTCATGTGAGAACGAATATTTGCACTGCAGTCACCAAGTTTGTTGCTGTATCAGATACTAATTTTTGGTAATAAATCAGACAATCTAATACACAGTCACGTACTTGTTCAACAAAGCCTTAGTCTCTTCGAGTATATACAGTTATGTTTGGGCAGACTCTGCTCCGCTCAAAGCCACAGGCATTCCTTGGTCCTCCCAAGCACAATGGACAAGGTAAGGGTCTTCCTCCTCGGGCAAGAACTGACCCGTCACCAAGCAGTCTCTTGTCGGTATCGGGATGAACTCTCCCTTGAAGCTGAACCAGGGTGGAGGCTTGCTGCCTTTTACATGAACATAGACCCCCCGCTCCTCCGCCGCCTTCATGGTCTTGGGGAAGGGGAAATAGTCAGGGGTTTCATCCGGCGTGGCCTCGGCCTGGATATCCCGCAAATGGACGGCCTTGAGATTCTTGTATCGCTCTGATGTAATCATCGCCTCAACTACATCATCTATATAATCTAGTGGCGCGTCGTCAAACTCCGCAGACTGGAAAATACTGCGACTCCGAGAGAATCCGTTGAAGTATATCATCTCAATTGTGGCCGGGAACTGAGATCGAAACACTTGAACAAGTTGGTCCAGGAGCTCTGACCGGGATCGCACTGCTGCAGCTCGACTCGCCATCTCTTCTTCCATCATGGTCCAGTAGAAGTAGGCCACGCGAATATCATCAAATATAGCACGTTGACTTGGTGCCACCCAGTTCCAATCCGATAGTCCGTCGCGGACGGCCTCGGTGTAGAAGCAGAGCCGCTGGAGAGATGAGTGTTGGTGCTGGGCGAGCTTTTGCGTCAGCTCCTGGGACCTCTGTTTACCATCACTGGTGTCGTCCCTTCTACAATTACCGTACTCGTTAAAGGGGTGGAACCGGATGGCGAGATTCTTGAGGCTGCTTGGGGATTTAGTTAAAAATTCCATCAGTTGTTCGCTCAGGCTGGCTTCTAGCTTGTCGATGATGATGGTTTGGACTGGTGATGTCTTGTTAAGCAGGGGCTGAAGGCCATCTGGGAAGAGGTCCGTGATCTCGCTGCTGATGTCGGAGTTCCCGTCCAAGTGGGCAAAATACACCTCAGATAGGTTCGGGAGACACAGCAGAGCACAGAATTCTCCGAGCTCTCTCGAAGGGGGATCGGGTCGCAAGATCGTGCCATCAATCGTGGTGTCGCCAATCCGACGAGAGTTTACACCCACGTAAACTTTTTGAAGTGCTTCAAGTCCAGGCAGCCAGATACCAGCAAGCTTGCACCAGTAAATCATAAGACACAGGTTTTTGAAGTTCACCTGTTCTGATTCAGGGCTCCGCATATAGCGCAGGGCCTGCATGCGTGGCAGATGGGCCAGCAGGAATGCTTTAAGGAAGGTGTCTGCGCCTGTTTTAAGCTCTTCCCGGGCTTGGACATAATATGTATCATCCTTGGGGAAGAAATCAGGCACCTTGTATAGTTTGTCGAAGAAGTAGTCAGCATCATCGTCAGGAAATGACCAGGGCTGCCTCCCCTCAACGATCCAGAGGTCGCCAGTGTCCGCATCAACCTCCCAGGGATCATTATTTATCCTATCAGTCCAGACCTCAAACTCTCTGACGTGCCAAGCGTCAATCGAGGCTGCGCCCGGACTCAAGGCACTCCATAAAAGGTTAGGAACAGTCTGCGGGTCGAGATCGCAGCTGATCCTGAACTCTTGATACGCCTTACGATGTCGGCCAAGGATCGGCTGAGAGTTGAGGTATAGATGCTTGCATGTCTGTGCAAGAGGCCAGTGGCCTGAGGCATGAGTATGCTCGATGATGAGCTGCAATATCTCGGAGGGGAGAGCGGCAAGGTATGAAATCGACTCCATGACGAACTCAAGTACTGCCTCCTCCGAGAACGAGGTATGATGGGATGAGATAGACGTGGGGAGAAGCTTAACTCAGATCTAGTTGCGGGGATAAGCTACTGTGGAAGGTGAAGAGCACCTCATACTTACACCAACCGAGAAACAGCCACGGCTTTATATTCCCGTTGATTGCAGAACCCTAATTAATCGAAGCAATACAACAGGGTAGGTATTTGGGAGGGTTTATTTTAGGCACCCCGAGTCACAAGCACTCTTCAATGCATGTGCTGACTAACACAGGCTGGGCGATGGGCTCTACTGGAGCTGCCAGGCAAAACCACAACCAGCCGCATGAAACAATCCATTCGGATGGGCTAGTACAAAAGACCATCCCGTTGGGTGACCAGATTAATGGCGTTATGGTCCACGCAATATTGTAACAGGCCAAACGGAAATCCCATACCGGCCCCAGTTTTGCTCGCTTCCCTGCCCACAAGTAGGCGCAACTAGGCTGCATTCTGGTGCTGCATCAGGTTGATAAAATAAGTCAAACAAAGGAACTTCCATAGCCCCTAGGAGCCTTAATATAGCCCTGGGAATGGATATCTGATGATACTTGCAGTTTCCTAGTGGATATCCAGTTTCTAATGTAGAAGACTGGGGCCCAAAAGGCGAATTTATTTGGCATGATACGGTAGAATTGATTGCACATGGGTATCTCAGCAGTTGTACTATTTTTAGATATATGGGGCAGGGGATCAGCCGCAAGGTGGAAGCACTTTGGAAAACGAAGATGGAGGCACTTTGAACCAAGCCGCAAAAAGAGAACGAACTATTACAAGGCTCCTTGCCAGTACAGAACTGGATCTCAATAAAACCGCACTGAAGTGCCCTAAACTAAGACCAAAGTACCTTCAGTATATGTCTTATCCTCGGAATAGGCCCAATAGAGAGATGTACAAGGGCAGGGCTAGAATGGCTTCTAACCGTACCACCAAGGTAGGCCAGAAGCTCATAGTTCCTAACCGGAATATCTAATCAAAATCAAATATATTGTTCTTCTAAATACAGATTCTATGTTATGATGGGCCTATATACCCGAGAAACTTGGCGCACTAAATATAGGGTACCTCAGGGTCTTAGGTTTAGAGGAGCCAAGTCAACATTGGTGATGCTGCAATTATAACGGCCGTGGAATGCATCTTGATGCATGTCCTGACTATCACCAAAGCCTGAAGTCATGTTTCCCATTCCATTCCCTCATTTCATCCTGATCTTGAATATCTAGCTCCCTTTTAATTTACCTATGGCTGATATCGCCAACTATGCTTCTCTACAACATCATTTGCACCATTTCCTGCCTCGCCTTGACGGCGAGAGCAAGAGAGGGCAACAAGGGGAAAGGCTCTGTATTACTGGACGTCCCTGAAAGTCCCAAACAATCAGTAAATGCCAACCAAGCGAGAAGTATCTTGGAGGTCAACGATGCAAGTCCAGCTCGACCAGCAGACACTCCAGGCAAGTTGAAATCAAAACGGAAGAGAGAGAGGCAACAGACTAACAAAGTAAATACAGGCTCTTGTGGCGTCGACCAGCAAGCGACAAACAATGGTTCTTGCGGAATCAGAATAGGGCGACAAGGCTTAACCAGCGACGATTCTGGCGGCCCGAATATCATTAAGCGCGAGACAAACATAGAGAACAAGGCTCCTACCGAAGGCAATGGTCTCACTAGAAGAAAGGCAGCTCCGAAGGCGACCCCCAAGAAGGCTGCAGCTCCCAAGAAGGCTGCAGCTCCCAAGAAGGCGGCAGCTCCCAAGAAGGCGGCAGCTCCCAAGAAGGCGGCAGCTCCCAAGAAAGCGGCTGCAAAACCCAAGAAAGCGGCTGCCAAACACAAGAAGGCTGCTGCTAAGCCAAAGAAGGCCGCTATCAAACCAAAGAAAGCTGCTGCTAAATCCAAGAAGCCTGTTGGAGCAAAGAAAGCTGCTGCCAAACTCAAGAAGCCTGCTGCTAAGCCCAAGAAGCCTGCTGCTAAGCCCAAGAAGCCTGTTGGGGCCAAGAAAGCTGCTGCCAAACCCAAGAAAGCTGCTGCCAAACCCAAGAAGGCTGCTGCTAAACCCAAGAAGCCTGTTGGAGCCAAGAAAGCTACTTCTAAACCCAAGAAGCCTGCTGTTAAATCCAAGAAGCCTGTTGGGGACAAGAAAGCTGCTATTAAACCAAAGAAGGCTGCTGCTGGACGGAAGAAGACCACTAGTCCTAAGAAATCTACAGTCAAGCCAAAGAAGGCTACTGCAAACCCGAAGAAAGCTACGGGACAGAAGAAGGCTGTCGGCCCTAAGAAAGGTGCTGGAGCTCAGAAGGGAGCAGCGAAGAAGCCTACTAAGCTCAAGAAAGCCTCTGGCCCTAAGAAAGGTGCTGGCCCTAAGAAGGGAGTAGCGAAGAAGCCTGCTGATCTTAAGAAAGCTTCTGGCTCTAAGAAAGCCGCTGGTTCTAAGAAGGGAGCAGCAGCTAAGAAGATTGCTGGAGCTAAGAAAGCCGCCACAAAGCCGAAGAAGGCTGGTAGTCCTAAGAGCGCCTCTGGATCTAAGAAAGCTGCAGCAACGAAGGCTACTACACCTAAGAAACCTGCCAGACCTAGTAAAGCCGCTGGTTCTAAGAAAACTGCTGGTTCCAAGAAGACTGCTGGTTCCAAGAAGACTGTTGGTTCCAAGAAGACTGCTGGCTCCAAGAAGCCTGCTGGTTCCAAGAAGCCTGCTGGCTCCAAGAAGCCTGCTAGACTTAACAAAGCGGCTGGTTCCAAGAAAACTGCTGGTTCCAGGAAGACTGTTGGGAAACCAAATAAAGCTGCTGATCCTAAGAAAGCTGCCGGACAGAAGAAAGTTGCTGGTTCTAAGAAGGGAGTAGCAGCTAAGAAGGTTACTGGAGCTAAGAAGGCTACTACTAAACCGAAGAAAGCTACTACTAATCCGAAGAAGACTGGTAGCCTTAAGAGCGCCCTTAGTTCTAAGAAAGCTGCTGGTGTTCAGAAAGGAGCAGTAGCTAGTAAGCCCACTGGATCTAAGAAGACTGCTGGTAAACCGAAGAAAGCCACTGGTCCAAGGAAAGCCGCTGGTTCTAAGAAGACTGCTGGCAAACCAAAGAAAGCCGCTGGTTCCAAGAAGACTGCGGGGAAACCAAAGAAGACTGGTGGAGCTAGGAATAAAACATCATCCAAGAAGCCCGGTAAACCCAAGAAAACTGGTGGTCTTAAGAAGGGCTCCAGGTCCAAGAAGCCTGCTGGGAAACTAAACAAGGCTGGAGCCAAACAGAAGAAGGTTGCTGGGAAACAGAAGAAGGCTGCTGGACCAAAGAAACCCAAGGGCATACTGAAAAAAGGTTCTGCGAACAAGCACGCTCCAAAGAAGGGTGCTATCAAGAAGGCTGGTCACAGCAAAAAGCCAGTGGGCAACAAGAAATCTGCCGGCAACAAGAAGGCCACCAAGAACCATAACTTCTCCAACCAGAGGAAGGCTGTCGGGAACAAGAAGACTGCTGGAAAGAAGACTTCACCAGGCAAGAAGAGACCTGGTCCGAAAAGGCCAGCAGGCAACAAGGCGACTGCTGGCAACCAAAAGACCCTCGGCAATAAGAACTCGGCAGGCAACAGGAAGCTAGTTGGCAAAAACAGGACAACTGCCCATGGCAAGGCTTCTAATAGTAAACAGCCACCTAGCCAACCAAAGGCAGCCAACCATAGGGGGCTCGGGAATAAAAGTAAACCGTCGGGTCAGAGTCAGAGACTTGGCAGCAAGAATAAGGCACCGGCAGGCCCAGCAAGCTGTTCCATTGGAGGAAAGTGGAAGCGCGGCGGCTGCGGCGCTCCTACTAATGATGATGGGTCGTCTGGCAGGGGAAAGGCTCCAGCTGCTTCAGATTCACCTAAAAGGAAACCCGGTGACATTAACAGGCTACCCAAGCTGAAGATACCCTCAAATACAGGGAGTTCCGAGTCTAGAAAGCAAGACAGTGGAAGCCCTCACGAGAGACCGAAGACAGCCTCCAACCCGCATCGTAGTAGGATACCGGTGAAGTCGCCCACCAGGCCAGGGGGCGCCCAGACAGGCAGGAAAGCCAGTGCGATCCATCCAAAGAGCCCGAAGGCAGCCTCCAACCCGCATCGAAGTCGAATACCGGTAAAATCGCCCACGACGCCAGGGGGCGCCCAGGCAGGCAGGGCCAGTGAGAGTCATCAACAGAGACCGAAGACAGCCTCCATCCCGCATCGAAGTAGGATACCGGTAAAGTCGCCCACGACGCCAGGGGGCGCCCAGGCAGGCAAGCAAGTCAGTGGGAATCTTCCAGAGAGACCGAAGAGTCCAACCAAGATACCATCACCGAAGTCTCCGACCGGTGGGAGTCCCCGGACAAGCAGGCCTGATGGTGGATCAAATGGTGCCAAGAGGAAGCGACCAGACGATCAATCCCAACCCCAGAAGAAGAGAATAAAGGCTGGGATCTTCGGCCAGAGCGGGATTAAACCAGATGATCAGAAAATCAGGATCGTGAAGGCACATGATGCCGGGAAGTCTCAAGCAGGCAAAGGAGCTCAGACCAATCCTCCTGCGAAGACCGGGCAGAGCAGGCTGCATATTCCATCAGGGCAGAACAGGCAGTCTGTACCGCCATCTCAAGTCAAGAATGCTTCGGGAGGGCACCAACCAGACCAGAAGGGCTCCTCTGTGAAGCCGCCTCCTGCGAGCAACGGGGCGAAGACCCGGCCAGCTCAGGCGTCACAGACCAAACCCAAGGGCAAAGCTGCTCAGGATGTCGTGCAAATAAAACCGCCCGTTGTGCCGAAGAATGCAATGCACGACATAAAGAAGCCTGTCCGAAAATCCGCGGAACAGATCAAAAAGGAAAAGGAGGTGGACGAGAGGGCTAAGAAAGAAAGGGAGAAGTACGACGTGCCTCTGGACGACCATCGAGAGAATAGGGTAGAGGATAAAAACGGCGAGCTCTTGAAGGGCAAGGCTAACACCATGTACGTCAATATCTCGCCGAACCCTTTCAGGGTCGACCCAAACAACTTGCCAACGTCGTATTCGCGCAAGGTCGGCGACGGGACCGACGTACCAGAAACCAAAGACTCATCTGGTGCCACAAAGAAGGGAACGACAAGACTGGACGCCTATAAGACAGAGAATCCGGACTTCGCCATAGCGTTCAGTCATGGACAGCATTCAAAGTTTAATGATGGGCAGAGGAATTACAGGCCAGGCGAATTGGAAGAAGCGAGTACTACAGGGCACACATCCAATGCAGGTAATTAGCCTCGGCATGTCTTCCTGTTCTGTCATTGAGACTGATCTAATCTGGTTTATAGGCGACCGTGAGTGGCACAAATTTACGGCCGACTTACCGGAAAATCAGCGCAAGTTGCAACACCAGGACAGGATAAACAAGGGCCTGGTGCTCCCAGGGACGCCAGTGCCGCCGTCCTTGACCCCTCTAGAATTGAACGAGGAGATGTACGGCCCTACCACCCTATTCTTGTGAAGCATGGGGCTAACATAAATAACAGGAAGAAGAGTTTGGGAGGGGTTAAAAACCATGCCGCTGGCCAAAAGGGCGGGCCGTACAGGGAGCACACGGACCGACTGATTGGAGGTGCCTATGATGGGCAGCACAACACGGACATAACAGTCGACCATCTGCCTGGAGCGCGTTGAGAGCTGCTTTCAATTGGTTAGTCTTGTAAATGTAAGAGTTGTATATACCAGAGGAGTGAATGGTTGGGTTTCAAAAGATGTGAGAAATAGCAGCAATTAACTGCGGGTTAGCTTTCAAATTCTTCTTCTGTTGGCAGATCCGGATCGCCTTTGTGACTTTGTGTTAGTATGAGACCCCCGTCCGGTCTGGGATATGTGATCTTCTGGACCTAAAACACGGGCTGATGATGCTGTGGACGGGAGGCGCCTGGGCGGTGCTGTGTCAAAGGGAAAGGGAGTAGGTCGTTCCTTTTGCTCATATGCGTCCTGTATGCATAGCAATTTTGGCTACTCCTCAACGATTGGTTGGCAATCGGGATAGTTGCTACACCCGTGAATAGAATTTAGCTGAGAGAAGCACGCCACTTGGAGCGAGGAGGCAAAGATGGTGAGTGGTAATAGTCTGACGTCTTGAGGCAGCGATGGTTGGATATTCCGTGAGCCTTTTCAGATGGTAAGAGCGGCGAGGACGCTAAGACGAAATAAGTAAGTCCAAGGCGCTACAGGTAAACTTGAATCGGATCGGTTCAATCTTGGCCCGTCCGCCTCCAGTCATTTATTCTTAGCTGTCAACTCCAGCTCGTCTCTACAGGAATAGCTTGTAAAGCGATCGCATACCTGTCAACGCCTTTCTCGACACACCTCCCCTTACCTCTTCACCAACGCCCAACACCCGACGACTAATCTCTAATAACCCGCAATCAAAATGGCCACCGCTCTCGTCCCCGGACCAATTACCTACCTGGTCGGCAACTTCGTCTGGAGTACGAAACATCATCGAACCCTCCCGATGCGACCATCGGCTAACCCGCCCGCTCTCTAGTCAACGTCCTCCTCGTCAACGCCGTCGCCGTCCTCTCCGAGGATCGCTTCCTCGCGCGCAGTACGAACCAACATTGCCCCGTTAATCCCCCAAATACGAGAAAGTCGGACCGCTAACTCGATTTCCCCCGTCTAGTCGGCCTGTCCCCCGCATCCCACGACCCTTCCTTCGGCGCGGGCCCGGACACCAGCGTCAAGGGCAAGATCATCAACCTGATATCGAGCATCCGGACTATCATGAGAAGTATGTCCCCCACCCCATTTCAGCGAGGCCGGGGCGCCTCTCCCAACTCACCCAAGACCTTGCAGACTAACGGGCGTATTTCTATCGCAGTGCCGTTGATCTTCGTCAATTTCGTCCTAATACTCTACTTGCTGATCCTGGGTTAAACCTATCTTACGACGGGAGGATTTTTTTTCGTTGATGGCGGATAACTTATCGGCGGAGGGGGGGCATTAGCAGAGGGCGAGAATCATGAGCATGGAGTCAAGGCGTCACAATTTTCGAGAAAACGGATTTTTTATAAACTGGAAAGACCCGCTGCATTTGGCGTTGCACCAACTTTGAATTTGCGGATGGGGAGCATAAAGCATACATGTATCGCTTGGCTTGCTTGTCTGGGGCATGATCCAGCGAGCGATTCAAGACGGGCTCATGAGAGTGTACTAAGATTGAATATACATACATATCCCTGAGTCATAGAGCAACGCTGATCGAGGGAATGTACCGAAAACATCAAGTGGGCTATAAGGCTGGCTAATAGAAGAGGAACGTTGGTTCATTTCTCTATCTACAGTCTACCCAGGAGACGATCCGCCAAGGCACGACCAAGAAATGTCATGCATGGCTCCCTTTCCTCACCCGAATACATGCTTGACCCAGACAGGAGAGATTCTTTTGACGAGCAGTAAAGCTCGACCACCCAAACATCCAGTGTTCCATTATACACGGTCAACTCCTCGCAAGACACCGAAATTATAAACAAGCTATGTAATCCATGCAGACAACCCAAGTTGAGGGTTTGTCTTTTTTATGCAAGAATGTTGGTACTCTTCTTCCTCCCCAGCGATGAGCTAAGACGGTCTTTCAAGCTGTCTTTGCCCTCAGAATGCTCTCCGTTGGTCTCGCTATTACCAAAGTGTGAGTTGTCACCCTTTTCCCTGTGAAAGAAGCTGAAGCTCCGCTTAGCCATCGACTTGCTGCCTCGTTTGGACCTGTCAAGAAGGCCGAACGGACTCGAGCTCCCACTTTCTCTCTTCTTTGCATTTTCTTCCTTCGCCAATTTCTTGCTCTCTTCGAGCGCTTTTTGTAGTTCGTCGCTTTCACTCTTGCGCGCTTGTTGCAGATTCTTGATGCGCTCCTCCTGTCGCTTCTTTTCCTCTAGCTTCGCCTGCTTCTCACGCTCTTTCTCAGCCAGCTTCTCAGCCCTCTCCGCCTGCTTCTCCGCCTTCTCCGCCGCCTCGCGCTCTTTCTTCTCCCGTTTCTTGTCTTCCTTCGACTTTACTACTTCTGTCGGTTCTGAAGTAGAGTTGGTTGTTGTGACCGGGACTTCAGGGATAGGAGGGTTGGCTAGAGCTGGAATTGGAGGAGACGATAGGGCGTGCTCGGGGGATGTGTTCGTCCGCGCGAGCTTACCTAACTCTTCGTGATCGACGGTTGCTCGTTGAGAAAATGTGGCTTGGCGTTTGAGTTGTGTAGATGCCTTGGGGCTCTTATCGTCATCCTCCTGCGCCGAGGACGCCGCCTGGCTGGCCAGTTTTATATCCTCCATTCCCTCTCTCTCTTGTTCTTCCCTGACTTTCTCAAATGTCGTTTCTTGGTAGAACAAAACATATGCTGTTGCCATGCCTGGCTTCTCACCGAAAAAGTTGCGCACGAAATGCTTGTCCACGGGTTCAACCATTTCGTCATCAAACAGGACCCAGCCCCGATCTTGAGTTTTGATGATGGAGACGTAATGTCCATGGTACGCATTGCCGCCAATATGAACCACAACAGCGTATAGTTCGTACAGCCTATCCGGGTCCTCTGCCTCGTCAGTCGTGTTGAACATTCGTAGATGATATGGGTACACCACCCGGTGGAAGAGTTTCTGAAGACGACTGTAATCCTCTGTGTATTTGAAGCGCTTCAAATGCAGCGTTAACACCTTTGGTAATCGCTTGACCTTCATCCTTTTTTCCGCTTCCTGAAGTCCACCACAATGGTCGCAATGAAATTTGTTTCTTTCGCAAAGCATTTCCTCGTCCGAGAACTTGCGCAGGCACGATGTAACGGACGAGTGCTCTTCCAAGTCGATAGATAAATCCAGGAATGTCTCATCACGCTGTGAACCAGTCTCGCATGTTAAACATTTGGTCTCGGAAGTCAACACGCCCTCAAAGATGTCATGGACCCAGCCTGTTCCTGGTGTTGTGACTCCGTTGATGTGCTTTGCCATTGCCGAGCCCAGCGCATTCTCCACGGACTGTGCGAGGCCATTTTCTTGAGTTCCCAGCTGTGCCTTGAATTTGTGGGCATTGGCCTCGACATTAGCGATTACGTCGTTTAGAACCAACCCGTAGAACTCGTGTGCATCCTGATGCATGGAATTACGGAACATTTCGTTATCCCGCTTAAATATCTCGAGGAACCTCTGTGGGCTGAGTACTCCAGTTCGGGTTTGGCTCTCAATGAGAGCTAAGAATATATCCTTCAACCCGGTAAAGGTGCATTCATCCATCCCGTAGGCGTTGGTATTTTCCTGTGCCAGCTCCAAGATAGGACCTTTGAGCATGGCCTGCTTCTTTTTGTATTCTGGCGTATCCGGCTTGTCTTCCGGACGGACTGGTCCCTGTCCGGGAGGAGGCATGCCTGCGTTGATGGCCTGCCTTTGCTTTATCACCTGGGAACTGGAAAGCCCTTTCTGCTTGCCATTTGGTGGGTTCGGGGGTGTCGGCTGCATAGGCGGGCGTATCGATACGTTAACTCGAGGCCGCGTTCCATCTGGCGTGTCTGAGGGCGAAAGCGAAGGATAGTTGATAACGCTATTTCGGAAAAGATCTGAGTAAAAGAGAGCCTGGACAATCGAATTGCAGTAGCTGCACCTGCTGTTAATAAAGAGCTATTTCAGGAGGGTCATTCTGTCAGAGGCAGCCATACCAGGTATTCCCAAACTGCTCTCAATGTTAGCTATGTAAAATTTTCAACCTATTTGAGGTAAATGGCTGGAGGGGCCGAGGGGTTGCGTACATTCTCAAACCCATAGAACCTGTCACTACCGTCCTCGCGCAGAGGGCCCGCGTTCCGTAGCATTTTCTCCAATGGAGTCATCTCCAGGATAATCTGCTCATCTCTCTTCTTTGCTGCTGCATTTTCTTTGACAGTTGGATTTCCTGAAGCCTGCGTAGATCGTTATTCTCGTCAGTTATCGGAATTGTCTTGGCGAGGGTGGGTGGCGGACGGTGGAGAGGAGGAGCAAGAGGAGAAGTAGAGGACACAAAAGCGGATTGAGACGAGGGATGCCTCCCGGAGGAGAGGATTCTCTGAGCATACCGTGCTGGCACCCTTTATTTTGTTGAAGAAAGCCGCCATCGTGGCGTTGGGTCGTTAGGAATCCCGAGGTCGGGGAGAGAGAGGCTGGTTGCTGGCGAAGGTCCGCAGCGACCGCTGCGCAACGCTTGCTTGGACAACAATTTAGAGCGACAAGTAGAGTAGACCATTCGCATCCAATTCCTGTCAATATGACTTGATATCAATGTCGGTAGAATTGTTTCGTCGTATAGGCACCGAGGGCGTGATGTCGCAGACCCCGAATCGGATCAGGTGCTCGGTATTTCGATTCGGGCGACGGTGCGATTGCGCCCAGCGAGGCGGGAGGACAGCGAGGCGCGAGAGTAGCTGGAAACAGAGTGTGTTCTCTAGACAATGTGAATAATTGGATGACCCGAGGATGGCGAGGAGGAGTTTGTATCAGAGGAAGGGAAGGAAGGGGGGCGTCACAGCTGGAAGGAGTGCGAGAGCAGGCATATGGCCGTTGACAAGGCAGATGGGTAGGTTACCTACCAGCTACGTGCTACACTGGCTACGGCAAGGTTGGTTGGAAGAAGGTAGGGGGATTGGTTACTAATTGCATGGGATGATACCTGGGACGGGGGTGGGGGTTGTGCTCACGCAGGCTGGAGAAAGGCTGGAAAGCCTGGGCCGCCCCCCGTCAGCGGAGTTAAGTTAGCGATTAGAACGCCTGGAGGCACGGTAACCTGAAGTGGACGCAGGAGCGAGTCAAAGTCGCGGAGTTATCCTTCGCACCACTCGCCAGCGGAGCCACTCCAGACACCAGCGACCGACCTCCGGCCACGGACTCGGGCGCGGGCACTGAGTCCTCCATCCCTGAGGCGAGGGCAGGCACCGCAGGCACAGGCAGGCAGCACCGCAGGGCAGGGCAGGACCGGGCAGGGAAGAATCGGGGCGAAAAAGGTACTTGGCCTTCCTTCACGCCAAGACCCCCAGAGTCCAGGCATGTGGATAGTGGAGTCTGATGAGCCCCAAAAAGCCAAAGCCGCCCCAGATGTGAGGTGAGGTGACGGTGCATGCCATGCCACCTGAGTGGTGGGGAAACCGAAGCGTGGTACTGTTCGATTCTTCCTTCCTTGGCCACTCAAGTCGCCCTGCACCTCACCCAACCAAAGTGTCCCTGCCTGCCACTCCTGGCAACAAGGTACGTCGCTACCCTATCTACATGCCTAGTGCCCTAGGTACCTTGCCGATGCACCACCAATCAGTCCAGTCGTGCGAGCCTGGTCGCCTGCTGCCCCGGCCACTGTATCTGGCTGGCTGGCATCGAGCATCTGGCCTCTCCGTAGTCATATCTGCAAGATCGACGCCAGCTCTCGTCGTACAATGTCCATGACGGCCTCTCACGGAGCAGCATCCCCCCCAACGGCATCCCCACCTGCTATATCTCCCGTCGGGGCGGTGACGCTCCTCATCGCTTCTTCCACCAACCGACGGGTTGTGTGCCAAGGAGCGCCTCCATTGTGCGAGGGGTGTGCTTGATCCCTGGGCATACGTCCTAGGCGTTGGAGGACCTACCTCAAATACCTCGCATGCCCCTGGTACCTGTATGCCAGAACCACTTTAACAACCAACTGGGGTTGGCCAGCATGAACTTGCAGGAGCAGAAGGGCGGCGACGTCGACGAGATGGCTTTTTTCTGCCATTGGCGATATCCCAAGCTGGCACCGCCCACTCCAAGGCTATCTAGATGGGAAACCGGCAACGCTCGCAGCTCACACGCTTTTACCGCCCCCAACCAAGGGAAACACCCCCGGCGACGCATCTTTGCACACTTTCAGAAGGGTTCGAGGTGTCAATTTGCCTCTCACTGCGTCATTAACACCGGTGGAGCTCG